CATTGTCAAAGGGTAAAGCACAATTTGATAAAAAATAATAACCTGTATTATCGTTCTGCTCCGAAGTTCTTGGATCTTTGTCAATTCATACCATACTGGACCTCGATTGTGTATAGTAAGGTACAAATGATCCGACTCATTGACGTACCTGTACGCAACATTGTGACCAATCATAATGGTTAAAGCATCGCACCATCAGGCGATCGACCAATATCCACACGCTTGACTCATGCTGAGTGTGAGTGAGATGCATACCTAATGCATTGTATTTTACACCTAATAATTATAAGGACAAGATTCCAGTTAAAAGTTACTCTACCAGTTTTCAAACAAAAGAGTGTTAAATATTCAATGTAGCTTACTTATATAACATATTTTAAACCTTTAAGTGTTAGTTGATCATTATGATCAAAATTGATCATAAAAAAATTATGATCAAAATTGATCATATTTTTTTTTATTAAACTGATATGTTACCTTGTGTACACACAGCTACAGATCGGATTACCCCAATATGTTATTTTTTTCCAGTTGATTATAATCTCTAACGAAAAAACATTAAGGTTTAAATTCAAGTAGTTCCTCTACTTTGACAGATTTGTATAGCTGTGCTGTTGACTGTACCCATATAATTCGTTACAGATCGCGAAATATAACGCCAGTCCCGCATTGAGTGCTGTCAATGTGCTGGTTCTTATGGCGTCCCTCTTGACATCCATCGCTGTACTAAAATAAGGCTCACTTACTATCGACAGTACGTGTAATAAGTGCTCAACTTTTAGTCAATAAAGTTATTTATTTTTGTAAAAAATATTGTTTTCATTTAAAATTTCTGCAATGGATTTTGAAATAGAGTCGGGAAATTTGACAGTTTTGTAAAGACTGACGTCCATTTGACAGAACTAGCCCTGAGACTCTGTAAAAATCCGAACCCGAATTCGAATTCACTCAGGTGTCCGAATACGGCAACTTGAAGCCACTTTCCGATAATGCTCAGTGGAAGGTTAGCCACGTTAGATTTAAACCTTTTTTATAATTGTCATAAACCCTTCTTGGCAGCTGAATAGACATTTGTAGTAAATAAAAAGAAACGAATTGTTTAGATATCACATATGAATATTTTATTTACGAGTAATAGTAATGATATAGTATATATTACACGGTACGTAATAAATATAAGGTACATGGTGAATCGCTACACATGTCATAACTGCACCGGCTGTAGCGACAACAGCACCACCTGCCGGCACCACACTGGAAACAACATCGTTCAAATATATTTTTGGTACTTGTAGCATAAATACTAGGATTGCATCCGATTCATAGCTATCGGCCATTTTTTGAGTTTTCCGATATATCGGAAACAGCGATATAAAGTTGCCGTAAAATCAATATATTTTCAATTTTGAGCGCTATAGATAACCAATGCGAACACGCATTTGTCGTTTTTCTTTGTCGCGCGAACGATAATTTGTCGTTTTGCTTTGACTTTCCAGTTCATTTAAGGAGTTGGCCATTGGTGTGTTATAATTTTTTCAATGCAGTTGCTCATAAAGCGCTATTTTTTTAATCCATTGTAAACACCGAATGTGAGTCTTTAAAAACGTGTTAAATAAAAACGTTCTGAAATCCTTTACTGCACACGTGCTTAAAAGTATTTTTTTTTTTTTGACGTGGATACGTCTATGTTTTCGTTCTACAGGGGGGTCATTCTGTGAGCAGGAGTATATGCACTAACGCCATCTATTGGCGTATAAGTGAACTATGCTTGCTCTGCAGGGGGAGGGGCATTCTGTCAGCAGGAGTATATGCACTAACGCCATCTGTTGGCGCTAGTGAATACTTTTTCATTCAACAAATGAACGCAACGAATATTTATTTATTTAGTGTTTAGTGTCTTCAATTTGTTTATTTATTTTTTTTATCAATTACTTATATATCCATTCATACATAGACGTATCCACGCATAAGTATGGCTGTATCAATGATACAGCCAACCAGGGATTTTTTTTTTTTTTTGGCTGAGCACAAAAGAATTTTAAAAAAAAATTGGTGAAAATATGTCAAACTTGAGAGGCAAAAGTATTTCAAGGAGCCTAGAACGAATATTTTCAAATAAAAATGTATGACACGAAAACATGTTCAAATATCACGTTTAATTTTAACAAATAATTTTTACCTTTAATACATACTTAGTTTTATTAATCTATATATTTGTTTTATTTCCTCGCAAAAAGCATTGAAAAATGTTGTAAGAAACTTGAGCGTAAAAGGTTTATCGAATTCGTGCCAATGAAAACCAATTTGGCCCTTATTCGTAAAACCTTATATTCCGCACTCGTATCTTAAATAACTATGAATTGTGGTCATAATTATGATTTTTTAGTTTTTCCCAGGGTTTGCTAATAAATATTAACGGATAAATATAGACGTATATCAATTGATATTTATAGTTTATTATAGAGTATCGAGTCTCAACTAGAAAATTAACCAACCTGATGAAAACATTGGCCTGAAGTAACAATGTCACTTAGGAATTTCGGAATTTTAAACACATAATATTAAACAAATTCTTTCATATAAATGGATACATATATCGGATGAATATCAAATGTCGGATTTTTCAAACCGTGGTTTTCACACCTTTCGAGCTTTATTTGAATCTTCACTGTCCGTATCGGTATCATATCGGCCGAAGTGCGTCTCTAACAAATACTCAAAGAAAGAATAATAATGTATAAGACTTTTCAACTGAATATTGTTCATGTCGGAAGTGATGTATCATTGCTCAATTCAAAATCAAGGTTTAACATATTTAACTCCATTAATCTACTGTTTAACTAATCGCTATCGGTTCCCATTTCGTGCTTTAAACTCAGAACATAGTTGTTTGGTTCAACTTTAGAACATTTACCAATCTAAGTTTCGGTAAATATCAAATCAAATCAAAATTGTTTATTCAGTTTAGGCTTTTACAGAGCACTTGTGAAAGTCGAAAATTACGCCAACGGTTCGCAAAACTATGGCGGGAGAACCTGTACTGAGAAGAACCGGCAAGAAACTCAGCAAGGGCTGTTTTCTTCTCCCTGTCTTATTTCACACAGAGTAGTCTTATTGAAAAGTGACTTCATTAAAATATGAAGTCACTTTCTATTGTAATATTAGTAAAAATATCAAACACCATACCTTTTTGTCATTTAGATATTCTTTAATGATATAATATCCTTTACTTTGTAGACAATTTTTAAGACGACTTTTAAAATGATTTATTGGCAAATCTAATACATCACTGGGGATCTTGTTAAAGTACTGTATACCTTGACCCACGAAAGAACCTAATACCTTCTGTAAACTGTAAGAAGGCATTACTAGCTTGTTTTTATTTCTAGTATTAAGTTTGTGTACCTACATCACTATGTTTGGTATACACATTAATATTGTTCCGGACAAAAAGTATACAACTATATATAAATTAAGATGCAACCCTCAATATTTCAATTTCTCTCTAAGAGATATTCGCGAGCCCAACTGATCGATAGCAATGATAAATTTTACATCGCTTTTACTGCTTATATACCTTTCTCTGTGAGCGTGTCGTGTATGACGACGTCGGCCCGGAGCCCCCGCCCGTCGTGCAGCGTGGCGGGGCGAGGCGCGGGGGCGGGGCCCGCGGGGGGTGGCAGCAGCGCCCCCTCCCGCCACGCCCCCGCCCCCGGCCCCGCGCCGCCCCCCACCCCGCGCCACTTGCACAGCTCCTCCACCGCACTCGCCACCTCCATACCCTGCAATCATTGACACATTCAAACTCTTTTTGACAACCGTCAAAGACCTCGAAAACTCTTTCAAAAAATTGCCACAATATCACACGATAATTGGACTACTATTTATTTTCTCTTTGAAGATTGAAAAAAAAATTGTGTACGAAAACTGTAAATCGGATCTTATTAATCTTAAATGATATGATAAATAATGGCAACCTTTTACGACCGTTACTTTTTATAAAAACCCTATTATTTGCGGAGGTCTATGACAAAGATTAGTCGACAGACTTGTAGTTTGTTAATGACCTATTAAAATAAGTATAAAAACATTAATAATATTTATTAGATAAAACATTGTGTACTTTTAAATAAAAAAAATGCCCAAATGAGAGTCGGACACACTCATGATGGGCAAAAATTTACTTTTATTTATAATTTACGTATAAAAATTGTAAAGCTTTTTCAGAGTCTGACAGACACGTTGAATGTAACATACCTGGGGCGGCGGGCTGGGCGGGCTGGGCGGGCTGGGCGGGCCGGGCGTGGCGGGCGCGTAGGGCGCGAAGGCGGGGTCGAGGTGCAGCGGCAGGTGGCGGTCCAGCACCGTGCACGTGAGCGCGCGGCTGCCGTCCACCACCAGGAAGCTCTGCGAGCTGCTCTCCTCCATACTGTCGCGGCACTGTCTCGGCACTGGATCGCTCTACATCGACACATTACATTTAGTATGATTTAACAGTTTTCCTTAGCCTTCGACTGCGTAATTTGTACCCTATGTCACCCGCGTATGTTGTAACTTTCCGCAGAGGTGAAAGAATTTATAAATTCGATCCAGTAGTTTGTTTCGAAGCCTTTTCAATGCAAATAAATAATAGAAATTTATTAAACGTTCGTTTACAAATCATACGTACACCGAATTTAGATATATTTTTTTCCTGGACGTAAAGGTTGCCTGTGCATTTTAATCGATCGTATCCATTTGTTTTGTTTGTATTGGTGGTGTACGATAAAGCATATTTTACACACAGATAAAGTTTATTTTAGTCGTAACCTGTTAATATAGACGATCTATCACATAAAATAAATATCTTCTCAGTCGAAGCTCCATAAAAACCGTCGTTAGTGTTTTTTTTTTATTTCGGTCTCATATATAGGGTAGCTCGAAAATATTTAAAATCCGGTGTGGTCAACAATCACATATATATTAACTTTTACGTTATATACGTGTTAAACTTTACAGTCTGCACTAGGATAAATGTATGACTTCTAACGTTAAGAGTAATCTATTTCTCACCTGCGTCCTGGTGGGGTCTATGATGGTGGCGGCGCGCGGCTGCAGCGCGCGCGTCACCAGGTAGGCGGGCGCGCGCGCGTCCGTGATCACGTACGTGTCGCCCGCCTCCGAGCACGCCGAGTTGCACGACCCGCTGTCCAGCCCCGCCTCGCCCGCCTCCCCCGCCTCGCCCACCTCGCCCGCCTCGCCCGCCTCGCCCACCTCCGCGCACTCCCCGCCCGAGCCCTCCTCGTACGCCCCGGCGTTGGACAGGTCCAATTTCTCTTTCGCTGTTTCGATAATATGTTTATGTTCCTTCAACAGATCGCGTAACCCTCCATTATTCGTATTCGAAATTGTATCTACTTTCGAAATGCTAATACGTCCTCGGAACGAAGCTTTTTTCGATTATTTACGATTCCCCGGAGTCGGAACCAGACCTTGCCTCCGTTGTACAGATTATCTTCTAGAATTGTTTTCAAAATTTCCGAATTATCGTTCGAGGGCAAATTAGAAGAAGCCCTCGGGTGTCATGTTGCTCGTCCGAGTTACATGTCATTGTCATTTAAATTTACACAAATTTACTTTAATATTATTATCTCGTTGAAGACTACCACTTAAGTACACTACAAAACTAAAGTTACTACTACTTTTTACTTGTGTAATTGTTTGTTGTAAATAAATTTTACTATAGATGAATTTCTGTGACAAATATTGATATTGTAATTTTTTTAATATTTATTAAAAGTATTTTTTAGCAATGAAACAAAACTGTCATTACAAAGCAGCCCATGTTTCATTTTTTGCCGGTACTTTTCAGTATAAGGTCTCCCGTCGTAGAATAGCGAACCGGATTTATTCAACTTTCAGATCAGAGGTCAGCAACCCTATCAGACGGCAAAAACATTTGCTTTGAAATAACGACCTCAAATATATTATCGCAATCATAAACTGTAATCTAAATCATATTAAAGTACGGGTGCGGCACTCAACTATGGATCGAGTAATGTACCGCTCCTTTACATCGAAAGTGCCGCAGCTTGCCAAGCTTTGGTCTAGACTTAATAAATTATACTGAATTAAAAAAATGACAGTACAATAAAACATGAAAAATTAATTTCAGTTCAAAGTATAAAGTTAGGTTTAAACTTGTAGATCAAAGGTTGTGTATGATGTCAGGTATATATTCGTGGCGTAGAGTGTATGCATGTGGCGGTATACCGTGCGCGGGCAGCAGCCTGCACAGCGTGTACCCGCGGCAGGGCGCGCAGCGGGACACGCGGTACTGCCCCCCCTCCGCGCCGCCCTCCCACTCCGCCGACAACTCTGTACACAACCGCGCACAACACTCAACACTCAACACCACACCACTCACTACCTAACACAGGCAAATGGTCAATCTACACTATCATATTCATAATCAGTCTCGTTTCTATAACCATGAGCCGTAAAACACACTCTATGTCAAATAATAATAATAAAATATTTTCTATATTAGTCTTATCACTACGTAGTATAAAACAAAATTGCTTTCTCTGTCTATGTATGCTTAAATCTTTAAAACTACGCAACGGATTTTGATGCCGTTTTTTTTAAATAGTTAGGGTGATTCAAAAGGAAGGTTTTTATGTATAATACAGGATTACGGGGCGAATGTAAGAGTACAATACAAGACCACGAGGGCGAAGCCACTGGCGGAAAGCTAGTAAAATTTAAAAGTTTAAATGGTTCATAATTACCGATAATATAACAGAAACATATATTTTCTACAGTATGACGTTTTCATAATTTCAGAATATCGAAAGTGCTCAAATTAATACGAATTTATTTAAAAATCGACAACTGATATACGTAAAACGTAATAGTGAATGATCAGGGATCTTGATTAGTAGAACATATCGTGTAACTTTCATTATATATTAAATCTGGATGGAAACTGAGTTAAGATGTTGATCCCGATTGCATCTGCAATGAGGAAGCATATAAAAAGTTCTCGAAATCGAACTCCGTCGTGTAGCCACGGTATTTCCTTAATTTCTCCATGACAACCCTTCCGGTTTTCTTTATGTATAAAAGTAAATTAACTTTCAAAACTCAATCAACAACTCATAATCTATTTGTACTTTTTCATATTTGTATTGATATGTAAGTTTCGAACTTTGCAAATTTATGTTTTTTAATATGTTAGTTAAAAGGAACGGAAATGACTATCTTTGTTCCATTCGTTTCCTGCAAAAATCAATTTTTGCTAGAGTCGCCATCTAGTGAGGTGCTTTTTAGTGCTTTTTTTTTTCTTAAAATACTTCCTCATTGTAGGTGCCCATAATTCACACTGGACCCGCATGGTCTATTTTCCTTGTATGTAAACGAAAGGCCTGTGCAACACCAATGAAGTAATTATTAGGATAATGATGAATGGCCAATCATAAATGAAAGACAAAAAGGCGCGCAGTGTGTCGTACTAGCGAGCTACACTGCGCCCAAAAAAAAAACAGCCACAACGAATTTTCTATAAAGCTTACACATCAGAGCACACTGAAGGTCAATTGAAGCGAAAAAAATTTCAGTATGAAATTATTATTAGAGCGTTGCTGGAGCAACTCGTATTTTTTTACGCGTATTACAACATAGATATACCTCATCGCGGGGTGCATCGATATACTAATAAGGATATACTCAACTCAAGTACAGTATAAATACCTTCGTATGTGTTGGCTTGACTGTCGTCATTGGCTGCGAGCATGTCGTGTTGTTCCGCGTTGTGATCGATGAATACGTCCTAAATTTGTATAGGTACACTCATTAAACCATAATTTCAATAGGTCAGACATGAGAGAGGGCATTGCTCAGCTTACTTTTAAGTATATTTTTGGACCTCAGCTTGTCCGCATCAAATTAATGTTCAAATACATGTTTAATAAATAATATAATAATTATTGTTGAAGAATATATTTTGTTGGTATTGGTCGAATTTTCGCTATTTTATTGAAGCTATTTGATATTTCTAGCAGTAGCTAGTAGTGCTGTTTATTCTTTTAATTAATAAATTTTATCGAATAGAATTAGCTCTGCAGCATATGCCGTAATGAAGATACGTAGATTAACTGATACAGATACTGCCAGATTAGTATACATCAGTTAGTTTCATAGTGTAATGTCGTACGCACGTACGCACCTTGGGCGTGTGCTTGTAATGCAGACTGATCTTGCTGAGCTCGTGGTCGAGCGCGGCCAGCTGCGCCACGTGCCGCCCCGCCCCGCCCACCTCCGCCGACTCCACGCCCTCGGGCTAACGATAACGCCATTGGTATATCAATCAAGTAGTACACGTACAATATAATAACAGAGTGATAACGCACTAATATTACATAAAGGTAAAGTTTCTAACTTTGTTTATGGGAGGTAATCTTCGCTCAACAACCGAATCAGGCGTCGAGTTAATACAAGACATTTTTGATGCTTGGGAGGATTCACATGACGCGTTTGATGAAGAAACTCCATAATTATGGCTTTATAGAAAACTCTATTTTATAGTCACATATTTGACTGCCAGAGTACAGAGCACAAGATCCCCTGGAGCGAAAGTTAAGATGGATGTTCCGCGGGGCTCAATATTAGGTCCTTTCTTGTTTTTAATTTACGTTAATGAATTGCTTAATTTCGTATGGGATAAACACGATATAGTTTTGTTTGCAGATGACACTTCATTCTTGTTTAAAATTAAAAGTGGGATACCACTAAATGACGATATGAACAATTCTATCGCTAAAGTAATATATTGGCTTAATGTGCCATGATTAAAACAAAATGCCTAAAATTTATATTGCCTATTGTTAAACAAGTAGATATAAATGTGAATATAAAAGATGGACCTTGGAGATTTAACACAGGGAATCTTGTTGTGAGGACATGCTGCCGACATACAATCGATTTTTGTACTTCAGAATTGCTATAAGATCAATTTATAATCTTAGGATTAGCGACTCTTTAAGGTTAAAATTTAAAGACATAGACATAATGAGTGTTGCTTCTCAATACATATACGAGAACTTAATGTACGTTCATAAAAATATTAGTTTGTTTTCTATAAAAAGTGATAAACACAATTTTAATACTAAAAATAAAAATAAATGAGCGGTGCCTGAACTAAACTGCAAAAAGTGAATAATTCATTCAGGGGTCTTTGTGTGCTCTTCTAAAATAAGATCACAAGCAAAATACAACAATTATATATTATGCAATTTAAAATATTAAAAACATTATTAAAAAAGCTATATATAAGATATCTGATAATATAACAGATAACAATGGTTGGACTTAAGATGGTCCACCAACTGGATAGGTAATGCTTTCTTCTTATCAGCCTTTTAAGAAGTCTAATTGATTAAAGATTACTTTCACTTTAATAATTATCCGATCATGAAAAATTCTGATACTTAGAGGCTGTAATATAGGCAGGCGTAGTCGCGGGCAACAGCTAGTGTTTTATAAAAGTGTCGATCTCGTGTGTCTAAGGTTATCCTTAAAGGCAAACACAAATCTATCAGAACGGAACGTTCTGAAGGCAAATGAAAGACATTTAAGATTCATTGTATGATAACATATGAACCGTCGCATAGTGTTATTAAATAATGAAAAAACATATTTGTATTCATTAATTTAAATTTTTCCACTAATACAACCAGCCACGTGACATTTCGAACTGTTGCGTCACATTTTAATAAACATGACTACTGTTTGCAATCGTTAAAAAAACGTTGACGTTTGGTATATTGAAATGTGACGTCACACAATTCTCCGTTATCGCCGCCCGCGTTTTTGCCCTAACTTATTTGAAAAGTTTGAAAAAATTGTTTCATAGGCCTCCATATGCACTAACAGATTTGCGAGAACCTTTAAAGAACATTGGCGATCCTGCTACCCATTAAACAGAAATAATGAAATGTTGTGGAAATATAAAAGCATAGATTAAAGATTAGTTCTTTCATTTATTGTTGTTTTTTATATTATCAATCAATTACTCCTAACTCTAAAGAAGCATTGAAATAACAGTGTTGGTGGAATAAGAAAAAGTATACCTTAAAAAAAAACTAAGCTATTGTATGAGTTGGGTGTAGTAACTGTCAATTCTTCTGTTTTTAATAGCCCGAATAATTTATAAATTCTAACATATTAATATTTTTTTACCAACTTGTAAAAACATGTGATTGCCTTTTTAGTAATATAATTATTAAAAAATATGTATATATTTTTAACTGATTTCCGTTGAGTGTAAATAAATAGCCAATGTCACCCGCGTAGGTGAAGAATTTTTTAATTAGGTCAAGTAGTTTCAGAGTCGATATAATACAAACAATTATTATTTATATTAGTATAGAGTCAAGGCGGTCCCCCACTTCCTTTATTGAACTAGATAATACAACATCGATACTATTCGAGTAAACATAGTGTCGTGTAGTGAAAGAACCATTACATACGTTACCTTAGCTAGCGAGTGTAACGGTCGGTGCGTAGGCGATAGTGCAGGACTGTACTCTAGTGGGGATTGCGGTGACACAGGGCCCTAAGCAAAAATATATATACTAAACGATAAACAATCATATTCATAGAAATGCAAATAAAAATCTATCTATGAACTTTCAAAATCATAAAAAATGTCAAGGTAAAAACTTTAAATGTAATTTGTTCTAGCAAGTTAAATTATATGACATTTGGTGGTTCTAGCCTAGGGATAATAACAAAGAACTTAATAATTTAGACCAGAAATAATATAACCAGCTAAGTGCTAGTCGGACTCGCTCACGAAGGGATCCGTACTATAAAAACAACAAAAAAAATATATTCATATAAAAAACTCGCCTCTTAAACATTTATTTTATTATATTTTACTATCTGGAGTTAAAGCGGCAATAGAAATACATCTATGAAAACATCAATTTCTAACTAACACGGTTTATGTGATACAGCCTGGTGACAGACAGACGGCTTTCCGTTTTACTGATTAATTTTAACACACTAATTGCACACACAAATTTAGCCAAGCCAAACCAAAATTCACACCAACATAGTTTTACGGTCAGTTGCACAAATGTCCAATCAGGTTTAATGACGCTTTTAATCTCTAATGAATGGCGAATTGGTTCACTTTAAACTAATGACAATTTTAATGGACGTTTGTGCAACTGGCTGTCAATCAATCAAAATAAAAGATATATATCACACAGTACCAAAAACAATATATACTGTAACTTACGCTGTTAGATATAGAGGCGAGTTTGTGTTGGAGCGTGAGCATATACTCGTTGTATGATTGACTCTTGTTGGGCGTGCTGGGCTGCGACGAACCAGTCGAGTTCACATTCGTCATACCTGGACGGGTATTAAGAAGTCACGGCTCAGTTACACTGGTCGATAACATCTGCGCGAGACGTGCGGGAGATTTCTATTCCTTGCTGTGGTCAGTCCTTGTTTTATTGACCAATGAGATGAACGCGCAGAAGTCGTCCGCACTCCGCGTTTTGACCCCATCGACCAGTGTAACTAAGCTATTGCTATCATATGTGTAAGGCTTACATTTATATTATTATTCATCAAATATTTTAAACATACATAAATTTCAATATTGTTTTCGTTACTGTAATTGAAAGACATGTTTTTAACTTACTAACATTGGAGAAAAAACAAGAGATAAGCAGTGTATAAGAACACCGATAGTTCTAATTATTTATTAGTGTAGCTTGAGGTTAACAAATGATTTTTATCGGTAAACCTAGTTTCTTTACAACATCGTAGCTGGATGAGTAAACTTTGCTCAGTGTTTTTTTTTTTTTATATGAAACATATATAATACACTTTTTATATATTTTCTATCAAAAATTAAAATCCAATAATATATTGAAAATATTATCATTATTTTATCTATGATACAATTGCATGAAAAAATATAAGCTTATTATTCTAAAATTTTAATAGAGAGAGATTAATAAGTCACACTAATGTAATGTAAAATGTACTTTAAGTATAGATTCACTAGTGTTAACATACTGGCTGCTTCCATATCGGCGGCGCGCCGTGCGAGCGCGTGGTGGACGGCTCGGTGCGCGACTAGCTGGCCCAGGTTCTGTCCCATCAGACCCAGGTTCTGGCCGCCCAGAGATAGGTTCTGCCCACCTATGAGATTCTGACTGCCTAATCCTAAATTTTGACTCGATAGACCTGATAAAAAAATGGGAGAATATTAATTTAGCATTTCACACATTCCAATATTTAAATTTTTTCAATCAACTACTCGACATAAATTATAACTATGTAGCGTAATTTAAAAAAAAAAAATTGCGATTTATAACCTGTAGGTACAAAGTCCGAAAGCCTCGGATCATCATGCAACGTCAAAATGCAATAAAATGAACGTCAAGATCTTTATTGCGAGTGCAACCACTACTCACGTTTTATTGAAATGTGACGTCACGGTTCAAAATGTCTTTATTTAAATAACATGTCTTGAAGAAAAATAAATGTGAAAGTATAATACGACCCAACCCATCGTGACCAATTCAAAAAAATACCCTGCGCGGAGTAACCCTATAACTGTATTCATAATGAAGGTCCAAGGCAAAAATTGGTCTGAAAGACAATGTCGGTGTAAAAGTAAACAGAGTCCTTAACCATTGGCCCGGAATATCGACTCATTATCATTTATTTGTCAACGGTGCCAGATGATGTGACGTCATTCGATCGTCGACGGCCAATCCCAAGCTAACGGCTAGTTCTAGATATGCTTTGAAGCGGTGAGCGGTGGGGTTTACCTAAGTTTTGTCCCAGGTTCTGCGCGATGAGGTTCTGGTTGAAGCCGAGGTTCTGCGCCAGGCCCATGTTCTGGTGCTGCAGCGTGGCGAGGCCGGGCTGCAGCCCCAGCCCCAGCCCGAACGCCGGCCCCATCTGGTTGCCCGCCAGCTGACTCACCGACGACTGCAACGCTTGCTGTTGAGCTGAACGAACATTACATCTACTTAATCGTGCGTGAATGCTTTACACAATTCTACCATCGGCTAACGCTAAACAGTGTTTGATTATCATCGTAAACCTATTAATGTCCCTCCTACTAACTGACGAGTTTATTTAGGAAGAAATTGAATGCCATAACCGACCACGAAGACCCAGTGTAGATCGATAAGTACTAATATCCTGCAGGTGCAGCAGGAACCAACGGCCAGAAATTTTTGGTCAACCATCCTAAGACCGGCAGTCGCAAGTTATTTTACCTCCACATCGCAGAACTGAACGCGTTAAAGTCTACGTAGACCATGGGCATTAATGTATAAGCATTGGAAAATACAAATTATTAATCTTTTGTCATTTGACGTCATAAGTCATGCAAAAAATACTAATAAAGAAAGTTACAATTATTTCGCGTGCTCATATATTAATTGCCCATGTTTGTAACGTTGTGTACATATTTCATTGCAACATTGCACACATTGAGAAGTTTATTACTTTATCTTGTTAAAAATAATGCAAGGGCGAGTATTTATTAATATTTTATCAAATAAGTGGTCAGTGGTATTATATGTAAGTTTATACAATATGTAAGCTGTAGCACTAGCAAAGTAACGATGTTCAATAATAAATAATTATCATAAATAAATAAAAAACCTTGGTTCACCTATTATACTGGCAAATTTTTTTTATAACATAAATGAAAGCAACAAGCTGATTAATATAAACTATCGATATCCATTTTTTATGCGAGATTCTAGCTTTAAAAACTTAAAATATAATAAAACAATACTTATTTCATATAAGTTCCTCATGAATGCTGCTTTCCAAAAGTAATGGATAAAATAATATTTAATACTCTTAACAATCCATGGTGGTCAAATAATTATCCCTAGTCTTACAGGAAAATTGCTGTCATATTCTAATATTCTAATGTGAGAGAACGGAGTTTGTAATGGCTTCTTTACAATGGTCGACGTCTGCGTAATAGATGGTGATTTTACAGTGTGATGACGTCATTGTTTAGTCTTTCCTGTATGAAATCAAACAGGAAAGGAAAAGCAGCTCTTGCCGAGTTTCTTGCCGACTGTTCTCAGTACAAGGTTTCACGATATACCATAATGGTATTGAACTTTTGATTTAAAAATTTTTGATCACTTACATGCTATATAAGTTTCTTATAAAACAAAAATAAGGGCTATAATTAGAGTTGTCCCTTTTAGTTTACTTATGAGGTTGCATAACAGATAGTAAATGGGTCGATGGGGACAAAAAAATTATGAAATTAATATTAATATTGAAATAAACATAGACATTTTAATTTCGAGTCATGAAATCGCTTTATTATCTTATTATATTTAAAAATAAAAAGAAATATCTTTTAATTTATGTATCACGTGACCTGATAAGCCAACACCTTAGCAAAAACCTTTTTGCATTTGTCAGATCAATCACAAACACCTATTTATTTATTTCATTACATGATGCAAAATGGTGTTCTTCTTGTCATTTATTATTTATTTATTTATTGATTGGTTCACCAACAATTGTTACAATGACAATTCACATAGAACATCATTTCCATAAATAACACAAATTGTAAAATTAATTAAAGGTAAACACCACATGTACGTACAAAATTAAAAACGGTAAAATGTACTTTAAATCGGTATAAACAATGCGTATACATTTATTAGTTTAAAGACCGATTTGATTCTAAGAAAACATGTTTAAGTGGCAAAGATTTATTTTATGTGGCTTATTCCATAAAAACGTTAACAAGTACTTTTTTCAGAGTAAAATACGCTATTATGTATGTATCACTCACCTATGAAGTCGTTGGCCGTGGCGAGCATCGGCTGATAGTACTTCTGTGGCTGATACTGCGGCGGCAGTCCTACATCACACAGAGATAAACTAATATAGTTTCAAGGTAAACGTAGGTCCATCCAATGCGAATGGAACGCTCTGAAGGAGGCGAATGAAAAAAAAAATAATTTGAATAATTCCAAGTACGCATTATAAGTTACTGCACACGAGTGCGCCGAATCGCTCACAATTAGAAGAACCCTAACGCTGTGGCCTGCCATGACGGAACATCGTGAGAAGTCACATTTTTAAAAATCTAAACGTCAAGGTCTTTGTTACGAGTGCAAACAGTAATTATGTTTATTGATATGTGACGTCATGGCTCGAAATGTCACGTGACTAGTGTTTTCGCAGCACAATTTCTAAGACGAATAAATTTTTTATTTTTTTTATTTAACAACACTTTTTGAAGAAATTTAAATCTGATAGTGGTTTAATATGACCATATAATTTTTTTTAAGCACATTTACTAAATCAGTTAAGCGGACAATTAACATTAATTTTATACCAGCTCGTAACAGTATATTATTCTCACCTGGTTGCGCGGCCAGTGCTGCGTTGTGTAGACTGAGATCAGGTTGCGGGAACGGCGGCTGATTTAATAGTCCTAGGAGATTAGGCCCAGTCAGGTTCTGTTGCTGACTGTTAGTCAACAAATAAATATATATATAGTATACAGCTTTATCGTGGTGATTTAAGAAGCCATAAAAACCGGCGAGCATTTATGAAAACATTTACTAATTTCAAGGAAGCGAGAGATGAATGTAACGTATTTAATGGAAAGTGGCTTTACCGCGAAATTGAAGTTCTGAGTGCAATCAAAACGAAGGCCTGAATTATCTGCCAGGTTGTCAGACAAACTGTGAGATTAATTAGGACTACGGTTACATTAGCTTCCATTAGTGTATTACACAAACCGTGATGTTAGGTTGCACATTTTGAGAATTGGCTACTTGACAGTTATATCAATAAATAGTAAATAATAAATTGTACATATATTTGATTTTTGCAACATATAACTTGCGATTCATAATCTGTGGATTACAAGAACCGCGGGCGACGATGATGGATTATATTTCAATAAAATAAACGTCAGCGTCTCTGTGAAGAGTTTAATTAGTACTCTTGTTTATTGAGACGTGTTCGACGTGCCACTGATTAATTCCGCGGGACTATTTAAATTACTGAATAAATACATGCTTTTTCCTATATTTAATAACACTATTTGGAGCAAAAAACCTCTGATAGTGGATTCATATGATCATAATAAGATTTTTCAAATACTTTTCCCTAAACAGTCCAATAGCCAATTGGATATTTTAAAACAGTTTGTATATTCTGTAATGAGAGGGAGGGCGAGGCGAGTACAGATATACTATTTAAATTATGCGCTTCGGCTATATTCGTCAAGCTTCGGCAATCTTAATGTATTTTAAAGATATCTATATAGAGTTGTTATTACATAATTAATCATTTCCCTTAAATTTAAATTGTCAGCCAATTTAAAAATAAAAGTATACTGTGCTTTCTTGCCATCAGTTGATACCAAAATGAAAACCTCAGATTAAAGAAAATGGAATTAAGATAAATCGGTTGTACTAACTAAATAAGTTTCTCACACCAGTAAGTAGAGCAGTTTTTTTAATAAAACAAAATTCACTCTACTAATCACAATTTGATATGACTTCTATACCCGACATTTCAGACTGAGAATCATTACTGTCGCTGCTGGGACCAATGTTTTAGTACCTATATTCAAATAAGGTAATTTGGCGTATTAAAGCTCTATACAATTCTTAATACTGAAATATTGCGTGCTGTCACTTCCATCACAGTCAAGGTACTAACGAGATTTGGCGGCTAAAATGACGATGCGCATAATTTAAATAGTATATGTGTACTGACTTGATGATGTTCTGCTTGAGCAGCATGCGCTGTATGTCATCGAGGTTGGTGTCGGGATGGGTGTCCGGGTGGGTGTCCGGGGTGTGTGAGAGGGAGGGCGAGGCGAGTACTGACTTGATGATGTTCTGCTTGAGCAGCATGCGCTGTATGTTATCGAGGTTGGTGTCGGGATGGGTGTCCGGGTGGGTGTCCGGGGTGTGTGAGAGGGAGGGCGAGGCGAGTACTGACTTGATGATGTTCTGCTTGAGCAGCATGCGCTGTATGTTGTCGGGGTTGGTGTCGGGATGGGTGTCCGGGGTGTGTGAGAGGGAGGGCGAGGCGAGTACTGACTTGATGATGTTCTGCTTGAGCAGCATGCGCTGTATGTTGTCGGGGTTGGTGTCGGGATGGGTGTCCGGGTGGGTGTCCGGAGTGTGTGAGAGGGAGGGCGAGGCGAGTACTGACTTGATGATGTTCTGCTTGAGCAGCATGCGCTGTATGTTGTCGGGGTTGGTGTCGGGATGGGTGTCCGGGTGGGTGTCCGGAGTGTGTGAGAGGGAGGGCGAGGCGAGTACTGACTTGATGATGTTCTGCTTGAGCAGCATGCGCTGTATGTTGTCGGGGTTGGTGTCGGGATGGGTGTCCGGGTGGGTGTCCGGCGTGTGTGAGAGGGAGGGCGAGGCGAGTACTGACTTGATGATGTTCTGCTTGAGCAGCATGCGCTGTATGTTGTCGGGGTTGGTGTCGGGATGGGTGTCCGGGTGGGTGTCCGGCGTGTGTGAGAGGGAGGGCGAGGCGAGTACTGACTTGATGATGTTCTGCTTGAGCAGCATGCGCTGTATGTTGTCGGGGTTGGTGTCGGGATGGGTGTCCGGGTGGGTGTCCGGAGTGTGTGAGAGGGAGGGCGAGGCGAGTACTGACTTGATGATGTTCTGCTTGAGCAGCATGCGCTGTATGTTGTCGGGGTTGGTGTCGGGATGGGTGTCCGGGTGGGTGTCCGGAGTGTGTGAGAGGGAGGGCGAGGCGAGTACTGACTTGATGATGTTCTGCTTGAGCAGCATGCGCTGTATGTTGTCGGGGTTGGTGTCGGGATGGGTGTCCGGGTGGGTGTCCGGCGTGTGTGAGAGGGAGGGCGCTGGCGCGCGCGACACCTCCAACCTGCCTGCAGCCCCTAAGCACAGCCCCGCACGGGACATGCCTGTACACAATACTAATATTATTATTTTGGGTTCCGTATACAAAGGATAAAACGGGACCGTATTAAAGGGACCGCTGTCTGTCCGTCCGTCAGTTCGCTGTATCCTCATGAACCACAACATTTCTTATTATATTATTAATTTTTATTCCACCTAAAATGGTTGCATTCTAAACTTAACCCAAATTGCCTATTCTGAATCATCACACCAGAACACCACAAACCACAGACGGATGGACAGACAAACAGATAAATTATTATTATTTAAAACAAAAATAGTGCCGAAGAAGGCAGAATAAATGAATTTTCGGATTCGGTGCGTACACGATTGCGATGAGTTATATTATCATAGAATTCTGATATTTTTTATTCACCTCCTTCGGCGCATTCGATTCGTATTAAATTGCGTTTTTACATTTATTCATTTTAAAGAATAACGAAATTCTATGATTCGGTAAGTCTCAATATAATTTAATATTTATACATGGTTAAAATAAATTGTATTATATACAACAGATAATCATTTATTAATAAATTAATAACAATGAATATTATAATCAACTTCTAATTGACTAGAAAAATATAACAAAATAAAAAGGAAAAATAATATAATAAAGTATATTGAATCACCCAGTAATGACGGCTCTGTGGATATCTGCAGCGGCGTGGTGAGACTGGCGAGGGTGCGCGAGGGCTCCGGCGCCTCTGCGGGCTCTGGGGGGCCCGCGGGAGGCTGCGGCGGGTCCTCCTGCTGTATAATATAATCATTATTCAGCGGTGTATACAATTAGCGGAGTAAGTAGCTCACGTGTCGATTTTAAGAAATATACAATATATATAGAACTAATATTTTTCTATATTGTCTCCGATCTGGTTTTTGTGTTCAAATACTCAATAATACGAAGGCTTTTTTGAATCTGAGAAATGCATGTTTTTATATCAAGTTTATATCTTAATAACAACTTTATTCAGATATATTATCATAGAAATCTGATATTAAATATTAAATATTATTCAGAACTATGATGGCGCAATGCAAAAAATATTTTTATTGACAAGACGAATAATGTAAATAACCATATTAAGATCGCCTACCCCTATCACCCTCTATAGATTAGTGTGCAAGCTGAATTTGTACTTTATTGGGTACTAGTGGGAGTAGCTATTTATTTAATAAACTAGTGAACGGGTCCAAACCCACTTCACGGGCCCCGTGTGTAATGGTGGGTGTTAACGATTGCAGATCGTCGAGCCATAAAATATGCCCTAACGTGGGATACGTTACCGGTACATGTGTATTGGATGCGTCTTCGCTAGCGTTGGTATCTGTCCTCTCAAGGTCTTCACTCTCCTGGCCGCGGTCTACCACCGGGCTGACTAGGAACCTGGATATCTTGCGCGTCGGCTTCTGATTCTTTTTATCATTCTGTGATTCAGAGCTGCCCGATCGATCGGGAGCAAGAGCTGACCCGCCGTCTGATTGATTTGAACCTAGTGATTTTTATTTATTTTGAATAGGGAATTTTCCGCATAGCTCGTTGCAGATAGTAGCACTAGCCCATATAAGCAAACAATTTTTTCGAACATTTTGGTTTTTGATAATTAACGATTCCCTTCTTGCATCCAAATATGAAGCAATGTGTGTAATTGGATAAAATTACATTCTTTTTAATTATATATTTTAAAAATATTAAATTGCTACTATGTTATTACTTATGTAAGTGATAAAAGTAAAAAAATAGTCAAATGTTATTCAAAATTTCAGTAAGGTTGGTGGTGTTTTACAAATGACCCTGTATAGAGTCAGACTTACCTATAGAAGAAGCGGTGCTGATTTTTCTGGTTAGAGCGTCCGCTGGGGGCCTGTGCGCGACGGATGCGGACGCGGGGGTGGGGGCGGGGGCGGGCGCGGGGGCGGAGGCGGGGGCGGGGTCGTAGGCGAGCTCGGCGGCGATGTTGTCGTGGCTGGCGGTGGGCGTGGTGCACTCTGAGTTGTCTTGATTCGAATCCGTCAGATTCTCCTCACGCTCTGTCGTCTCAGAATCGTAATCGGTCTGCAAGCGAACGGTTTGAATGATATAGAGATTTCTTTTTGGACCAATCGAATTGTCCAATTGTAATGACACAAAGCAACTGAAGTTGTGAATAAGTATATAGTTAAAAGTAGTACGGCACTCCACGCCAGGGGCTCCCAATATATCTCTGTGCTGTGTTTTTTCCATAATGTATTGTGAAGGCCAATACAAATATTTTCTTTTTTTCTTTCTATTTCTAAATTATTTTGTCTGAGATCTTCGCCTTCGAGTTCCGGAGCCCTATTCTTTTTACAGCCTATTAGTAGCATGATGTTTTTCTGTACCGGCAATACAATATCGAATGTAAAATTTTTTACAACATCCATTTTTGACATGGAAAAAATGAGACCGATAAATCATTATGCTAAAAATAGAAACATATATTCTGTATATAGGGCCGAATCAAAAGTAAAATTAGAAAAAATCTATTTACATCCCCAGTTTGGTTGGTTCTAGTACTCTCTTTATTTCTAATTATCATAAAACAAGAGCTTTAGTTACACAGATGGGCTAAATATGCTTATCAAATACTAATTTACATTGATAAATAATAAGGATATTACTTCGATCAACAATACAACTAGATAACGCCTCGCATACTAAAACAATACTCAAAATCGTCCGAACGTTGGCGCCGTCGCAAAGAAAATAAGACCGCACTTTGAAATGAGCATTATGTCTTCGGCCAGTTTTGAGACACTGACCGGGCATCCAGTTGTATTGTTGATTGAAGGGGCATTATCAGCCCTTCGTCGTCGTCGACCGATACCTTGTCTACGTCCCGGGGCAGCGAGACGTGGTGTGCGTTGACTACTGGTGTGACCCCGGGGTTGGCGACCACCTGGCCCACGATGTCGCGGATCAGCTCCGTGAACGCCGCGCTATGCCACTCGCCCAACAGATTGTTGGACACCTGACGATACACACATACACACAAACAGTTATAGTACCTCACGCTACTGCTCCACCTTGGCACCTGGCAGCAAAGTTAAGATTGAAACGGCGATAATGCATTAATTATCGTCGTTTCGTTCTTCGGCCACAATAAAATCGAGTTTACTTTATTTTAGATGGGAACTGCTTTTACGGGAAGGACAATGGTAGAGTAAGAAATTCTTAGTTTTTAAAACTACTAGAATCCAAACTGTGCCTTTTGAATCTAAAACAGAAATCCAAAACGGTGTTCCTATTCCTTATTCGAATGACGTTTTTTCTTCAGTCCAGTCGGTAAATCTCCAGAATACGGGTCGTGTGCGGAATAAGGATACCGTAAGTGTTGCATTTGACGGTAGTTGGATCAAAAATCTAAGGGTGGAAGAAGATTCATCCTCGGATGCAGAGACGTAGACTTGCTGATCCAGCCTCGTTGTGACTACGGCCAGTGCAACCCGGCCGAATCGTACGTGCAGGTCAGTGTAAAAATCGCGTCTAATACCCGGTATTATAAGTATGTAATAATGTAGCACAATAGTTTAAAAGTGAATAAGTACATAACTGAATATATTATACATAAATAAATAGTAGCCTTACCAGATTGCTGGTGATTTCTTCAGGATTGACATCGGTGATGTCAAACTTGAATGTGACCGTCTTCGACTTGGACTCAAGCTGGCACTCCACCACGTTGTCAGTTTCGTTCACCTCCAGCACGGTCAGCTTCGGCAGTTTGTCCTTCTCCCGGGAACGTTTTTTAGAACCACGGGATTTCTTCTCGCTCGTTATAGGAGACGGTATCGCTGTGCCAGCTGCGTGAAATGGAAAATTAATCTGTTTTTGACGGGTTGATATAAAATATGAAATGTGAACCTGCGTAATAGGTTAATTATATGAAAATATTTTTTATTTTATCAAGTACCTAAGGAAAATATTGAAGTCGGGAACATCGAAGGATTTTCTGTACCACTTACAGTTTGATTTGGCATATTTCTATTTTTGTGAAATCGGAATTTCATGTTTGCATACGTGAGTGAATTACTAAAACGGTATTTTGTAATTCAGGTCAGTAGTATATACAGAAAAAATGAAGACACTGACCTTCCTGTGTTTCAGCCTGCTTCTCCTCAACGGAGCTGAGTTCCGGGGGCCGGATGGATTCGGCGTGAGTCGCCGCCGAAGGAAATTCACTCATCGGCGTCAGGAACTGCTCTTTCGGGCCGTTCGAGTAGCCGTTCTCCACGTGCTCCTGACTCAAGCTCAGCTGCTGCGGAACACCGTCAGACTGCGGGGGCATCGGCGTCGGAACCGGGACGCTCTGCTGCAGAGGTTGAACCGGGGGAGGGAGAGACTGCGCCGGGGGAGGTTGGGATGACGGCAAATGCTGCGGGACCGTCGACACAGGGGGAGGCATCGACTGAAGCGGCTGAGGAACCGACTGAGGGATCGATTGGACCGGTTGGGCGGCGGAAGGGGCCATCTGAACCTCCTGCGGCATAGATTGGACGACGTTCTGCGGCGGCAACGAGGGCCCCGCGGCCTCCATTTGGTACTGGAGGTTCTGCATCACCGGCTGCACGGGCTGCGCGGGCGCCTGCTGGTACATCTGCAGGGGGTTGGTGGTGTAGTTCTGCACCGGGGTGCCCTCGTGGCTGGATATCTGGCGGTCGGTCTGCTGCACCGCGCCGAAGCTCTGCGGGAGCATCGTGTGGGGCAGCGACTGGCCCTGCGCGGCGGGAGGGGGGCGGTACGGGGCCTCCTCCGCCGGCACCGACGTCTGCTTCTGGATGTGCGCCTGCAGCTGCGCCTGGTACTGCGCCTGCTCCACCGACATCTGCGCCTGCAGCGGCGGCGGCGGCTGCTGCTGCTGCTGCGACGAGTAGTCCGGCTGCTGCAGGTCGTGTACGTCCACCGAACTCACCTGGCTCTGCTCGGACCCCTGCCGCTGGTACGCGGGCCGCTGCATGCGCAGCATCTCCTCCACCCTCTGGTGGTGCTGCCCCATCAGTTGCTGCTTCTGCGCGAACAGCGCGAAGTTTTGCTGGTCGATGAAGTTCTGCTGGCTCTGCAGCTGCAGCTCCTGCTGCGCCAAATACTGCTGCTGCTGCAGGTTGCGGATGTGCTGCGGGGACAGCGTCTGCGCGGGCATCGGCAGGTGCTGCTGGGTGAGTATCTGCTGCTGGAGGACTAGCTGCTGCTGGGCGAGCATCTGCTTCTGGATGTTGAGCTGCTGCTGCGCCTGACTGATGTTCTGCTGCGCCTGCGCCACCTGCTGCTGCTGCGCGAGGAATGTCGGGTCGAAAATAGGTTGCGCGACCTGCTGCGCCTGCTGGAAGTTCAGATTCTGCTGCTGGAACTGGGCGCCTATCAGATTCTGCATCCTCTGTCTCGTCTCCTCCTGCCGCTGCCGGTCCGCGTTCTCGAGTTGATTCGTCGCCGGCGCCGGCTGCTGCTGTTGAGTTTGCTGCATTTCGGCTTCGGCCTCCTTCCTCGGTTGAAGGTTGTCCGGCCTGATGATCTGCGTGAGTATGTTCTGAAGATTCTGGAGCGACGGATCGAGCACTTGGCCCGCACCGAGATTCTGGGGGGCGGAAATCATGCTCTCCTGGGTCATCTGTTCCTCCAGTTGTTTCTGTTGGATGGCGGCGGCCTGCTGGGCGATGATGTTCTGCTGCTGCTGGATGATCTGCTGCTGGAGCGCCTGGTTCTGGTTGTTGATTTCGGCGGTAAGCTGTTGATTGAGGAGGACGGGCTGCAGCTGGGCCTGGACGGGGTTCACATCTAGGAGGTTCTGCTGCACCTGCTGCTCCATGATCTGACCCTGGACGGTGTGCTCGTACATTTGCTGGTTCAGGAGATTCTGCTCCATCATTACCTGTCGACAACCACGATTATGACCGGTCGGTGCTAGCTATCTTTTTTACTCTTAGAAATGTCAGGAACAACGATATAAGTATTTCATAGATACTACATCGAATATTTCGACTATGAGAGACCATAATACTCTAGTTTTCAAGTGACGCATGTGGACCGTAGCCAAGCTTAGTTAGTCTCAATCGAATGTTTAGTGCGTAGGACAAATTGTCTGAATGTAATTAAGGACTTGTAAAAATACATGCAGTCTGTGACAACTGACTTTTGATACATATTTACTGAAAATGCTTTTGTCAGGCAAGTAAAAAAGGCGTAATTCTCAAAACAGGCAAATGATGACAATTATGTTTTCGATTGTTTGTATAGATATAAACCTGTTGTTGTATGTTTTGTTCGAACAGATGCTGTTGCTGCAGCAGATGTTGATCTGTGGCAGGCGACAGGCCCGAGTGCATGAGATTGTGCTGGAGCTGATGCTGCAGCAGCTGTTGTTGCGCTTGCAACAGCTGAGACTGCTGGTCGAGCCTAGACGACAAAGGGTATTGAGTAATTGGATAATACCTAATGGGGGCTCGAATAATGTAGATAGATTTAAATGTCTGCTTGTTTTTTAGTAACTACAATTCAAATTTTTTTATAACTACAGCTTATGTGATATATAATTGGCATCAACACGTTCAATATTTCTTAAATACTTATTATGATTCTAAAATCAAACACATTGCTTTTTGGTCATATTGAATTATTTCAGTCGAATTTAATATTCAATTACATGAAAAAATAACATACAATATTTGAGAAGGTATTGGCAATTACTTTAATCGTCATTATAAGACATTCTGAACTGCATTCACAGATATTAGAAATTTTTTTTTACTGTTTTACTGTTTCGTTTGTTATACTTATTCAACGCGTATTAGCTTTTGAAATGCATGTACATACTGTACGGCCGCTAGTGGAGGTTGTGGTCCGACGCCATTTAGCAGACCAGCCTTCACCTGCTCACCAGGACCCACCTGCTGTTGATTCTGCATCATCTTCACCTATAATTATCACAAGAGTTTAACATATTTAAATAGACAGCTTAATGTGTTAACATAAAAACGATTGGCCGGATCGGATACGGCTATTTTTCTTATATATTGGTTGAACTTTTAAGAAATGTTATATTTTTTGTCACAGGACTTAAGTATGTGGAATTTAAATCTACCAATAACGATGTGAATAATTCGCCAGGCCTTCAACAACAATCAACAATTTTCATTTACATAAGTTATCTATATAACGGTAAAAAACAGTAAAATCATCTGAGATGATATGTTTACTTAAAGTTGGTGCTAGATTATTCGTGCTCAAACTGACCTTCATTAGCTGCTGTTCCAAAAGGAGATTCTGTTCTTTGATCAGGTCTTGGTTGAACAACATCTGTGCTTTCTTCTCACTCCTCTCCCTGACAACAAAATGCAAACAAATGGTAAACGAAAATAAGGTTACAATCCAAAAATATTAAGAACAACAAACACGCTCAAGCCGTAGTCTGGACTGCATTTAAAATCGTTAACACCCACCAATCAGTACTGAGCCAGCATGGTATTTTATGGCCCTTCTTTCCTAATTGATCCCTTCCACATGGAAGACAGTCCTCCATCAGCGGGGGCATTATTGGGCTTATTTATTAGGCATTAATATGAGGCATAAAGAATCTTGAGTTTGCTCAAATCAGACTTAGCAATTTCAATGACCTAACGTGTACATGAATTCATGGTGAGTCATGTTTGATTAAAAATAAGGTATGAAATACAACGCAATAGATATCTGTCTCACTCACACTCGGCATGGACCAGCGCAGCGTGAATCGTACGATAGCGCGCTACTCGAATAATTCTGATTGGCGAGCGCTTTTTGGCCTTGTGCGTAGGTACGTCAGTGAGTCATATTAGTTGTACTTAAACATATTATGTTGATTATATATTTTCAGAATCATATTTGACATTTTATATATATTTGCAAAGCAAAACATTCACAAAATCAGTATTTAGTTAAACAATTAATTACTTAAATAAGATACTTATCAAATGTACTTTTTATAATGTTATTTTTAAAATGTATTATTAATGTACATACCCTATATATCTATATTACTTGTCAGTCTGTCGAGCAGACAACACGCAATGCAAATATTCATGATTCAAAGTATTGCGTGATACCTTTCGCGACATAATATAGGTACTATATCAGGGCTGTTAGATTTGACTGTCACCGTCTGACATGAAGCGGGCCTTGGATTAAAATAAACGCGATCGACGTGCAATTTTGGAATGATAAATAAGATATCTGTTCCAATTTAGATTGTTTTTATGATTGTTATTGATAACTGTTTCGATTGTAATTATTCATTATCCATTATTAATATGGCCAATATTTGATACATTCTTTCAATATGAATAAATAACATAAAGCAGCGTATAACCCGACTGTGGTCTGCGGACTCTGCTAGCAATTTTGTACTAAACCAACTCGAACTCGACATCGACCAATGAAATAAAACCTTTGTGTGGGTATTATTTGAATTTAGTCGACTTTTGTTGATTTATTGTCAGTTGTGCTCGAGTTCAACGCTGATTTTATTACGGAATAGCACTTCTGAAGGACTTCAAATAAAAGTTACATAAACTCAAATATTACAGATTTAGGTGCATAATATCACCATCAATTTTCACATTTATATTTTTGTAATACAATTAAATGATCCCTCGATCTGGTGCTTCATGTCTTAGAAGTTAGTGAGCAAGCAAAGGAACGATAAGAAAGAACAGTTCGACGACCGACAAGGACTCCTGCGTGAGTCACGGAGGAGCCCAAAACATTAAACAGTCGTAGATCACTCATCACTTCCATCGGCAGAGGGATTCAGTAAAAATCCGAATTTGAATTCACTCAGGTAATCGAACTCATTTCGAAAGCAAATCTACTTAACTTTGAATTAGTATTCTTAATTATAATAATAATAAATATTCTTAATTGCACATAAAAGCAACATTACATAGACACGCAAATATTTACAAAATAACGTACAAAAGGCGGCCTGGGAGAATAAAGCGTGATTTGAAATATTGGGAGATCATGGAATTAAACGTATAGATTAGAAAAGCGAGAGCATACGCATATCCCTACGACGACGAATGGGGAGTCACTGAAGTTGCCTACGGAATTCAGAAACAAGGTCATATTAGCGCAAGCCAAATATAACCTGTATCGCAGTGTTGTGAAAATTTTTAAGCTTATTGAGAAGATCAAGTGTAAGATAACATGCATCTGCATAGTCTAAAGGGGGCAAGAGAAGTGAATGCGTTAATGCTCTTTTTTTTTTAGAAATAGGTAGAAAATTGCCTAGCCTCCTAAGTGACCGCGAGGCAGCAAACATTTTCCGGCTCATCTCTGCAATTTGCCGAGACGACGAGTTGTCAAAGATGATACCTAGATTTTTCACCGTATCAGCAGATGGCACATGAAGGGTTCATGTGCCTTCTATCAAATAAAATAGGTGATAATCTATCAAATTTAATCCTTGAAATATAAAAGGAACTGCCTGTAATTAAACCCTGCGTTTTATTAGAATTAATTATGAGATTCATACATAATTATAAATCAAGTATTTTGATACGTAAAACGGACCAAAATATTTTTTACACTCATAAATCTCAATTAAAAAGATTCATTTCTTAATCTTGAAGATTTTTGATAAAGGGATGTGGCCTATGACGCCTATTTGAAGATGTTCTATTAAGACTACCAATCTCTATGAATGCAATGTCAAAATCTCACTTATCTATCATAGTTTAGTTCACTCCACTTTCGAAAGCAACGAGCTAGCAGCGTCATCAAGTTATAAAAAATACTCGTATGAAATTTGAGTCTCATGCCGTGGATAGCTTTCCAATGTGCGAAACGTGTTTATAGAATCGCGCGTCGGCTGACTTAATCTCCGTTATCGCAGAGCTAAACTGGTTTTTTTTAATAAGTTTAGAACAAGCGACGTTTTCCCCCATGCATATATTACTGCAATCAAACTAATATAATCTACGCATTTGCCGCCAATATTGTAACGGTACCATTTAAGTTAAGCGGAATGTCAAAGTTCACCGGGTAGTGAGTACATAACCACTCTTACTGCTTTCGAGATAAGCTCTACATTCATGTTATCACTTACAATGTGCTATTATTTTATTACTGCTGTGATAAACGTGGAGCGTGCGACCTTACAGATAGAAAACCTCTCCGATATCACTGAAGTATCGTGGCCACCGAAACACGCGAGGCCAATACACAGTTACACACTGACTTGAACTGTTATCGGCTTATTTACTTCACTACAGTTACCATGGCAACGCCCGGCACACGGCAATGTCGGATTTAATTGCAAATCAGCTCTATAGTAATGGGGCTATGAATTTTTTTTTCGCAAACATTACCCTTCCAAAGATATTCCGAAAAAACTTCACAAGTGTTTTCATTACTTACTCACATTTATACACGCGTAATGGAATCCAAACGCCATTGACAACTAGCACTTTTTTATAAACCATTAAATAAAATCATTAAAGTTATGAATTCATCAAAACAATCATATTATAAGTCACACAACATACATATTTAAATAGAACAATCACAAATGATAAATATGCACGACGGTAACAACAGATTCATATACACCTCCTATATAATTTAAATACACGTATTTTTATTTTTATAAACCACAGAAACCTAACTGACGTTTGTGGAACAACACGACGAGCCTGTTATAAAATTTCTGTACGCATAATATGGTGGCGTCATTCTTAATAATCGTGGCCGTTCAAGCGTCAAAATGTATATTCCAATTATTGAGCTGATAAGCAGAAGGTTACCAATTATAATACGAGTATCCAATATTATTTAACAGTCATGTTTAACCCCAAAAGCTCCGAAAAAAATCCTGGTTAACCGAATATCAGTACACAGTTTTTTAATGAAGCTTTAAAGATAATGAAAAAACTCGACTTTAATATTGTTGGCTAAGGCATTCAAGGTCAAAGGTCATTTTTTCGCGAAGATCTCGTGTCCTATTATTCGAAGGTCATAAAAGTCAGTATAAAAATTATTCGTGATTCGTTTATATCTACAAAAAATGCCTGCTTTTTTCTGTACGATCAACCCTTTTTATTATAGATGTTAGTACATCAAAATTCAACTCACTAGGAATACCTATAATATAGATTACTATATAACTGGATTAGATAGACCATGTGAAACATAAATAAACAAAATGTTTAAGAGAGGACCAAACATTGACATGACGAGTGATCGTGAATTATGAAAGAATAATACACATTGCACTGACCAAATATAAATGAATCGGGATAAGCATTTTCAATTTCAAATTGTCAACTTGAGAATACATTTTATTTTTTATATGAGTGATATAACTAAATTATTATTGGACAAACCTTTTTCAAACAGAGGTACTGTTATTCCCTTAAACTTCAACTAATGAATAACTTAATTACACTGCAACTCGTTTCATCGTAAATTCATGTATGGACACGATTTATTGAGTACTGAATGGGTTGCAGGCTCGCGTGAGGGAAGCATATTACACGCAATGAAACTTACTCGATTTTCTAACCCGATATTTATGGAATTACTCTTATAATTCACTTAAATAGTTTTCTGCTCAAATATTGTTTTTTATAAACAATGACTTGTAATAGCTTCTTTTGTAATCGATAAGTATATTTTTGAACCTTATATTTTCCTGTATATTTTTATTTCAAAAATATATATAAAAAAATATCCTTTAATTTGTTTCATTTCACAGTTTTCAAAACTGTTTTCTAATTTATCCCCCAAAATGATTCTTACATCCAGTAGTTTCGGAAAAAACGTCTGTGACGGACAGAACTGTAAGAGTTCAGTTTCCCTTTTTTGAAGATGAAACCTAAAATTAAGAAAAATAGCATCTACATGAAGTATGGGAGAAAGGAGAGGGTTCCGAAACAAGGGGGAGCCACTTATACGCGAGTGACATAAGCTATAATTTATGCGAGAAGTGGCAAAAAAGAAGCTAATTTTTAAACGACTTCAAAATCGAAAAGGCGATTTTTATCTATGTTCACTGACATTTCCGCCTATTGTTTACCGATTTTAAAAATTCTTTTATTCGACAACTTAATGGACAGAGAGTAGTCCCATTTTAATTATATCGAAATCGAACCAGTAGTTTTCTTTTTATAACAAAACAAAATACGCCTAAATATTCAGATGATTATGTTCATATAAGATAAAAACCAAAGATTGCGTATTTTACATTAATTCAAATTCCAAAAGAAGGATTTTATATGATCAACGAGTATGTTGATTATTTTACTCTTTGATTTAAATTTTTTTCTCTTGTTCTTGAATTGTGAACCAGATTTCTTTCACCATGAATTAAAAAAGAAGAAGAAGAATTTCTTTCAAACTCCCGCGAATAATGTAGTTTCCCGTAGAGGAAAAACTTTTATAAATCGGACCAATAGTTTTGGAGCCTATCCAATGCAAACAAACAAGGAATCAAATCTTTCTTCTTTAAAATATAAATATAAATTATTAGAAAAGGATATGTGGAGCAAATAAACAAAATCTCCTATTCTAAGACTTTTAATATGTTAAATATCTTTACCTATTATATAAAAAAATGTTAATATCACTAAAAAGCATGAAATAAAAACAAAAAAACAGTCCCGAGTTCAGAAAAGTGATAAATAATATTTATTTCAAAAGCGACTTATTCAAAAAATAGTCGAGCGCTTATCATTTAATTAATAACCTACAGCAAACATCCACTTTTTAAAAGGTTAAAGTCACTTAATTTTTTTTAAAGTTTTTATATTTAAAATTATTATTAAATCCCCGAACCGAACACAACAAACAAACATTCATGAAAAATTTATCTTCCCAATCACTACTAAGTGTTTCTGAAGACAGATATCTATATAACAATGCGAGTGCTAAAATAATACCTTATTAATATTCAATTCGGTAAAATATTTCAAGGGTTTCAGTAATGGACAATGTATGTACTTGCCGTATTATGCTCTTGCGCAGGCAGTCTGATTGCGTAATACTGCATAAGGCTAATTACTTTTGTCTATGCTTGTACGCATCACTATAATTATTCAAGGTCTCGTCTCACTGTTATCTTTTTATCGCGTCTATGACTCATTATGAAGTATCTTGTTTCTAAAGATGAGGAGAAATGTATGTCAAACGTTTCAAAATTAATAAATTAAACATATTTATCTATTTATTATTATAGCACACACAAATCTTATGGAGCCAAATATGGGTTTTTTGTAAGCTAGGAATCATAATTAAATCCATATCGCATGTGTAAATTCGTAGTGGGTTGCTTTTTAAAATAAACTTGCTTTAATTTCTCGCCTATTGTACACTCGCCACGTTCCGACAGACAACAGAAAAATAAAAAAAAATAAAATAAGAAAATAATAATAATATTAATGGGTGTTAACGACTATAGACACAGCCTGGACCAATGGCTTCACGTACCTTCCGCCGCATGGAGGAGCTCGAGACAATTAATATTTGGTCACCTCTCCTATGACCGGCCTTGCGATCACATGTTTTCAGAAAATATAATTTTTAATTAATGTTATTTTATTTTATTTACAGAATAGAAAGAGAATATTTACAGAATAAAACTAATGAAGTCTAGTCTGTGCACTATTATTGGCTCGATTATCATAATTAATAAAAATAGTTTTATGTCAAAAAATATCAATCACCAATATAAAGACACTTATTTCATCAGTGCAGGGATTCGGTAAAATAGTCCAAAATTGTTTTAATTAAATCAGTAGCTATGTAATAGAACTCTTTTAAAAATACAGGCCCAGTACATGAACGCAATATAAACCACTTAGCACAACCACGAGGAGTTAAAGAGAACGTTATTCAGCAGTTGCTAATAAATATCCCTTTAAATTCATTACGGAAACGTGCAATTAACATCCATTTATCATAATGCCGCTAAATGAATTGTATTCGTTTATTTTATAGAACAACAATTTCGTTTCAGCAATATGCAACATCATAATCGGGTATAAACATCGAGTAGAAAATAGGAATGTCTTAATCTACACTAATATTATAAAAAATAGGCTCCGACCGATTTTCAACCGGAACGATTTTAGAAAGTCAGTGACGATCCATTTCACTATATACGCTATCTGCAGCTATATATCTCAATAACACACATGATTTGCAGTAGAGATGCGTCGAATATTCGTTTGCTATTCGGTATTCGGCCGAATATATTCGGTACGAGTATTTCTGTTTTCTTGGTTAGACGACACCATGAAAAATTAAAGACAAAACATCTTATTTACGATTTATGTTACAAGTCAAATATTTCCAATGAATAATGTATTGAATAAATCGAATAAATAAAATAAAGCAATAAAACTTCAAATGATAAAAATTAATTTTATGAACTCACCGGCAAGAGTGTGTTGCATTTTTCTTTATATAGGTTCCCTGCTTCAGTTACACACGCTATATTACCAGGAGTACTTAGAAATACTATGGCAAAATAAAAACAATGGAATGGCCGAATATCCGGTACTATACTATTCGGTATTCAGTTAATCGGTGAAACCACTATTCGGTGCATCTCTATACTCTATTAATTATAGCATTAAACAGAAGTTAAATAAAGTTCTTTTTATGGTATACTTTATGACAAAATATCAATAATCATGTTACTCTTAAGACTGACGGTTAATTTGCTACATATTCACTTAAATATCAGCTGCTATACTTAACTGTTGTTATTTAAGCTATCTATTAAATAAATTTATGAGTATTTGACTAACTTAAATGATTTAATAACTATTACAATAAAAAGTGTTCATCCTAAGGAACCTAAAGAAGCAGGGTTGGATAGTTTCGGCACGATTCTTATGTCACTATAACTCTACCAAATTTAAAAACGTTGCCTAATCCCTTCAAACATTTCGGCAGTACAGCTTTGTATTTTTGTCAGACTATGATGTTTTTATAATTGTCAAAATACGTAATCTGGGATTGTCATCCATTGTGAATACTACAGCCTTTATCGTTTTATTTTTGTTGTTAAGTTTTGTTAAATATGGACGATGCCGGTGCAGGCCCGAGTGGCCTACAACAATGACGCTCTAAGCCCCCATGCCTACTCTCAACCTTTGACATTTCAGAGTTTTTCCAATGTCTTCGTCAATAGTCTGTCTAATTAAATGTTATAAAAGTTACAATAAAAATTTCATTTTGTTTACCTTTCTTTCCTGGGCATAGATATAATTAAATTCTATTCTAATTATATACACTTACAATTAGAATTCATCAAAACACCAGATAGATAGTTTTAGTTCCATGTTAGCTTGGGAGTAAAAGATGAATTAAGAAAATGCTGGCTTTATCTCAATCCCGAGGTATCGTAAAAAATGGAAAATTGCGCAGCTTTTTCAGACCACCTAATGTTCAAAGTTTCAACAAATCTATACTACATATTTTTTAAATTTATCTTGAAAATAAAATATTCTGCTGCTTCTATGACTCTCTTTTTTCTTATGTTATAATGAATTGAGTATAATTGGCAACTATTAGTCCTAGTTGATATTCGCGCACGAAGGGTTTTGTATTTTTCTATATACTATCTATAAAAAGTAGAAAAAACAAGCTTGTCGTATCGGAGCTCCACTTAAATATTTATTTTATTCTGTTTTTAGTTGTGGTTATATTGACAACAGAAATGCACAAACAATTAGTAAAAGATTCAACTATCTATCACATTCATGAGATACAGCCTGGTAATAGACAGACCTGGTAATGACAGCAGTCTTAATACTGCTGTCATTACCAGGTCTGTCTAATAAGGTCCCATTTTTACCCTTTGAATACGGGATCCTAACAAAGTGTTGTTAAGTTCTACAATTCATAGTATTAGTATCAAAATATTTAGTCAGGCTATAAAAGGGTTATTTTAAACAACTAGCAATTTCTCTTTGCCTTTACTCAGTATTAAATAGAACTTACCGGTTGAGACTGATAAGCTGGGACTTGAGCAGTTTGAAAACAATCCGCGCGTCCTCCTCCATGATGAGGCCGGCCTTAGCCATGTCGTTGGCGACCTCCTCGCAGTCGTCTTGTTCAATATCGAATTCAAATTGTATCGCTTCATTTTCCTTATGAGTGTAAGACCTAGCGGTAAACACATTAATCTATTATACACGTAATACCACACCGGCAAATTTACCGTAAAGTACGCTTACATCGATTTCCTTGAGATCGGATTGAATCAAAATGCACCCAAACTTCAATACTATATCCGTTCCAATACAGTGTTTAATGTTTATTCTGTCTAGGCTGTTGTAAACACTCGTGAGAGTCGAAAGCTATGCCTTGATGGCATTCGCAAATCTACGGCGGGAGATCTTGTATTGAGAAGAACCGGCAAGAAACTCAGCTGCTTTTTTTCTGTCTGTTTTATATCATACAGAGATGTTAAATTAAACTTAAAAATTGACTTCATTAGAATATGAATGAATTCTTAATATTTATGAACATACAGATATATGTACCGAGTAGCTCGGTGGCGTAGTGGATAAGCGCCGCGGCCTACGATCATTGTCGTTAAGCAACTTTCGCAAGGGTCGGTCACGGGATGGGTGATCAAAAAATTATTATCTAGGGCTACTCCGTGCTTCGGAAGGCACGTTAAGCTGTTGGTCGCGGCTGCATTTGCAGTCGTTAATACCCTCCAATCCGCATTGGGCCAGCGTGGAGGGTAATGGCCCATCCTCCTTAATCATTCTTAAGGAAGGCCTGAGCCCCTGCAGTGGGGACGTAAAAGGGCTGATAATGGTACAGACATATTATTCTTTATGAATAATTCTTAAAAAAATCCACTTTGTCCCTGACATCATCTTATTGAAAGTTTAAATATTTGCAAAAATATTTCTGTCGGTTGTTTGGGTGGATTTTCTGAACATTTAAGAAAATACACTCTGTAGTAGCGAAAAAGCAACAAGTGCTTGAAAAATTCATCAGCCCTGTTAGGTGCTGAGTAACTCAGTGGTTAGAGCAGTCGCCCTAATTGTGAATAGTCATAGATTTGAGTCCTATTTCAAAGTGGATTTTTTAAGCATTTTTCAATAAGAATATTTTTAGTATAGTATTGTGAATGCAAAATTGATCAAATGTAATAAACACAAATATTTATCAGATCGTATATTAGTTGTACCTAATGTCTTCAGAACCGAATTTCTGTAAGCCCATTCAATGTGATTAGACTCTGATAACGAGGTCTGATCGCATATGCTTTAACATGCAAAATGATCATTAAATACAAATGAAAGATATTAAGGGGTCACGATGAAAGTTATAGAGAAATAATAATCTAGTAATCAGACATCGTTTTATGTCTATGAGCTCTCTGGCAGAATGACTCGCACGGTCCCGGCTCGGGTTCAATTCCCGGTTGGGGGAACGCAGCAAATGAACTTTTCTGTATTTTCTCGGATCTGGGTAATTACGACAGAGGTACTATATCTCTATAATACAAAATACTCGAGTTACGTATTGTTATTTATTAAGCCATGTATGTGTAGTGTGATATTTATTTATTAATGTCTATTGCTGTCAAATCGAAAGCGTAAGGTTTTCGACTTCACAATTGTTTGTTTACAGCATAGACAGAATGTTTAATTATTGATTTTCGAATAAAATTATTAAGAACAAAATCTCGTCAAACTATATTGTCAGTGTTAAGAGAAGTTGACTCTATACCTTTTCTTCGGATCGATGATTTTAAGTCGAAACTGTATCTTGGTGATGTCCGACGACGTGACCAGATCTCTGCCCACTATCTCCAGCCGCAGCCCGATGTCCTCACCGAAAAACTCGTGGTTCAATAAGTCTTTCACCTTCGGCCTGCCAATTATCATATTGAATGTAGGAACTATTTAAACTTAGAAACTCAATATCTAAGATAAATCTTTCAACTTTAGAAAACCTATACAGGGTTATTAGTAAAACACAAGCAACGTCAAAGGGCTAGGTTGCTAACAAAACGGTTGACCTGTGTTTTAACATAATACTTTAAAGCAAACATTTTTTTTTTCAAGTTATTATTGCGCTGTAGTATTTTACAAGTCTATATTTTATTCATAAACGTAAAGCAGACACTATGCTCGCAAGTTCCTTTGTTTTGTCCACGCAGAGGAAATCCATCTTATGCTTCAAATCATGGTATTCCAACCACTAGATCTTGCTACTGGGTTAAACCACGCTGAATGATCCGGATACAATTCCAATGTTACAGAACTATTTAGTTTGTTTTGACTTTTTAAAATGTCATTTAAATTGTCTATAAGGTGACTATAAGTTTTACCGTGTCTGTGATCTCTATATTTATATAATTAAATGAACCCATTATTGTGTGCTTGATATTGTTCATTTTCATAAAGCAACTTTATTTACACTTGGCTCTCAACTTCACTCGCATTTTATGAACTACCTACATATTAGATGCGTGTTGAATGATTAATTAAGCGGTAAATTTAGTTAAAATTTATTTTTGTATGAAAGCAAACTTCAACGAATTATCAAAAGCTATAGAATAAACATTGTTGTTTATGATAATAGTTGTTTAGTCCTGCGAGGTTGATGGTGTTTTACTAATAACCCTGTATATTATTTAAAAATTAATACGGTGACATATATTTAACATTCGACGATTATTACTGCTCATGAAATAATAAACACTTTTATGAGTTAAATTTCGTTTATTTAGCGTGAACTCACATGGCCAAGGCCAAGACAGATCAAGATGCTTCTGTCATTAACTCAATTTTCTAATTACGATATTGACTTCAGATAATATTAGAAGACTAGAACATACCGATTAGTCATAATCATCGATATAATTTCGACATATACATTTATAAACTGATTAAGTTTAAGTCCCTACCTTAATCTGAGCAAGTAAAATTCGTGATTTATCTAGTATTAATTTTACTTATGATTTTTCGTTTTTTATATAATCTAATAAGGTAGAAGTGGAGACAAACCTGTCTCCTTTATTTGGTTTGATGCAAGATTCGATGATGTCCCGCACCTCTGATATGGTGACTTTCTCCAAGCTCTGTGGCTTCACGCCCTGCGATAATATAATTGTTATTTTTAATATTATTGTTACACCCATTATTGTCCGCCCACCGATAATTGTCTCCGCTAGTAGATCTACTGAGTAATTTTTATTTAGTCTTACAAACAACAAAATATTTTTAGTACAGCTGAAAATCAGTGTCTGTTTCATATATGGAACACTGAGCTGATCTATTACATTGGTTTCACTTTAGTGTTACTACGAGTACGGGTAACAGCAATATAATTTAAAAGTAATATAAATGTCACGGAATATGTGATATGGACCATTACAGTAACAATAATAACTAAACACGGTGAATAGAATGTTGCACTCTTTACTGAATGTCCCAAGCGAGTGTACGACAGCTTGGGTTTAAAATCTTTCTAGACGTGCTCATCGGCAAAATGTAAAAAGTATAAAGGGTTACTCGTAAAACACCAGCAACCTTGCAGAACTAGATAGTGAACATCATAAGCAACAACGTTTTACGAGTGTATAAACATTAATCGATATATTGAAAAAAAATATAATTTAAAATTTTTAAATCTATAATGGTTTAGTAGTGATATTCATGCGTCTCTTAATATACTGTCTTATGTATGTGATAAGGTAAGTAATTCGCTTGCTTCTATAGCCTGTCGCCAGCATACGATGTAGCTTTCAGTAGGTAAAAGAAATTTTAAAATCGTTCCAGCAGTTTCAAGACCTTTTGAATGCAAACTAACAAACAACCAAATCTTTTTAGTTAACAACAAACGAACGGCAAATAAAATGTTTTTAATGAAAGTTAAATATAACAAATTTATCAAAACTCACAGAAGGAACATTTTCTTTTATGCCTAGTCGAGTTCGGTTGCTAGTGTTTTCTAAATGACCCTGTATACATCACCAGTATAATGTGACGTTTTGACCCTGTATATAGTGGTAGTATAATGGGGCGTGGCACTGACCGAGACGACCTTCTTGTATATCTGCGCGGGCCCGGAGCACTCGCTGTACGGGTACTCGCCGGTGGCCATCTCCAGCATGCACATGCCGAACGCGTACACGTCCACCGACTCGTCGTAGTGCTCCTCGTACATCTCCGGCGCCATGAATTCCGGTGTGCCTTCACAACGTCACAAATACCAATAAGAATCCCATGTAATGTATTTTAATTACGAGGTGGCTACCGACTTATCTTTCGTACTTTGTATCTATAGAGTTCCCGATATTTCAGCGCTGTTGCAAGCGCCATGATCGATTAATATAAGGTACATGGTAGCGATCCCGTAATTAACAATCGTTCTGATGTATGTGTCTGTAAATAAATCATAAACCTTATAAACTGGTTCTAAGTGCGTTTATGATGATGCTGTTACATAATACGATCATCATTATCAGCTCGTTATTGTCTCCACTGCTGGGACACAGGCATTCTCTGTGGATGGAATGGAGAACCGACCAGAAGTTCATCACGCGACCTCAGTGCGGATTGGTAGGTGCTAACGTCTGCATATGGAGCCGAAACCAAGGTTTTGGATGTCTTCCGAATCACGGAAAGGCTTGTGTTAATAAAATTTCGGTCACTTGGCCGGCTAGGCAAAATGCTTGACCTGTGCTCGTACACTAAACGCGCTAACTACGTCTTGTCTTTATATTTACATATACTTATTTTACACTAACAATTTATTAATACTTTTAATATATAAAGCTTTTTCACTCACCAATGACAGATTTAGCGAAACTTCGATTTTTCAAAGTCGCCAATCCTAGATCACCTATCTTAACGCTACCAGTCGTGCCCGTGATGAAGATGTTGTCACATTTCAGATCTCTGTACAAAAATATTCTTATTATATTATCAAGCTGTAAATTTAACAGGCACAATCTTTTCAACCAGTGATTCTCTAAGCCTAAGATCATTACTATGCCATAGCATCGATTACGGCAGCGTCTCCAATCTAAAGGTGGTGCCAATTTAACGTTTCTGCCGCCAAAACAAACTACTCGCTATAATTTTGCCATTGGCAACAATGTAAAAAAAAATATTTTAAAATATCACATCTCATTCAATCGGCAATAAAGCAGTAATCCGAAGGGTTTTTATTATTTAACTTAAATAATTAATAGCGAGATTTGCGTCTTCTGGACGCCAAAAGTTGCCACGGAAAGTATCTAATGAGGTATGGGTCTCATAGGCTGTCTTATCTAATATTGACTAGTAAAAATTATGTCAAAATTGTTTGGCATAATATTTTACTTGCATGGTGGTGATTTATATAACCGATATATAAACTACTTTAAATCTACTAATAAATATAATACTTACAAGATTTGAAACTTTAAAATTAGGATATGATAATAATAAAAACTTTATATTATTAAATGGTGGTTAGTAACTAAATACAAAAATCAGTAAAGAGATGTTGTGATGCGGCCATACCTACCTGTGTATGATGGGCGGCGTCCTCGAGTGCAGGAAGTTCAGCCCCTTCAAGATCTGACGGCACCAGGACTTCAGCACCTTCGGGTTGATACGTTTGAACCGACGCAAGTACCTGCGTGACAACATTTTAAATGTAAAACATGTACAACGACGAGCTTGTATGAAGAGTAATATATATCGACGAACGAAAGAACGTATGTAAAAACCGTGCCTTGACGGCGATCGGTTTTAATGTCTTCTACTTATTTAATGTATATTTAATTATAACTAAATTATAACAAGGTAAGATCGGGACTCCTTAGTATATATACTTATACAGGGTTATTTCATAGAATAATACAGTAGCACAACTAAGAACAGACGGTCGAAATCACGTGCACACAGAGACTTAAGATCCCCAAGGGGACTAGAGTTGCCCTCAGTTACGCTTGCCACGGCAACACTACTTGATGAAGAGAGAGCGATCTTAATGTTTAAATACGACGTCTTCAAAACAAATTACCTACTGATATTGAAAAGTAAAATTAATATTTTATTGTTATAATCGTTATCAATTATAGATATGTACAATATGCATAGTCAGAATGTTTGTTTTGTTACAAAAATTGTCAAATGTGTTTACAAAAATTACATAGTTGCATATTTATAATTATACAGCGTTTATAACAATACGTATCACTAACTAGTTTGAATGAAAAAGCAATCCTAACGCTCCAATGCAGCGTAGGTATTTATTTCCAGAAATGTCTGAAATTTCGCTACTGTATTATTAAGTGGCTATTTGTAAAAAACAACAAATTACGCAGGACAAAATAACGCCTTTTCTATGATTATATTTGGATTCAATATATTTTATTTTCATACAAAAATAATTTTCAGTGTAATATACATACTGTATAAATGTTAATAACTCTAAGCGCATTACTAAGACTACGTCGCGTGGCAGCATAAGTCGTCCTTTCGTTTATGAATTAAAAATATAGGCATATAAGTGTCACAAAAATAAAATATTAAGGGCCGGTTTCACCGGTTGCTGATAAAGTCCCTGATAGTCTATCAGGAACTTATCTGCCAGATAAACTACAACTTTTGGTTTCACAGGTCTCGGATAAAAATATCTGGCAGATAAAGTATTAGATATGTTATCAGCCGATTCAAGTGGCTGATAAAGACGTTATCTGATAGATAAAAAAAAAGTTTCAATTGACGGGAACGAAAATAGTTTTAGTTTTAGACCATTATTGTGTGCTTTGCGTCGATTGCAGTCACAAGTGTCACAAATATTCTAAAATGGATTTATTTGAGTTTTTAGAAGACGGATTAGATGAATATTTCGAACTTATTACGCGACCCCGTAGGAATCGAGTAATTAACCCTAGACCTAATTATTGAGAATCACTTGTCGATCAAGATTTTAGAAATCGATTTCGGCTTAGCAAGCGGGCTGTTATTTATATTCTATCGTTAATAGAAAGTGATATAAAAACTACAACGGGCTAAGCTCCGTTTGTTTCTTCTTGATTAAAATTCACACTTCTTTCACGTTTTTGTTTTTCCATTATTAATTAACAAATACAAAAATAATACACAAAGAAAAGTTTAAAAACTGAAAAGCGTCTTAAGCACAAAATATCAACAAAGCAAAACAAATGATAGTTGCGTTTCGTTTCTGTAAACACGTAGCTAAGTATACGAATATCGTATTATTTCATTCTAGAATCATAAAATTATAATTCAAAATATGTAAAGTAAAAGTATAAAAAGTTTACTTAAATAATATTGAACACAAAAATTAATATTAATTAAGTTTTAAAAATGATTTTTGATTGACGATAATTTGGGTCGTAGTATTAAAACGCAAAAAAGCGACGTTGCCGTTCCGTCAACTAATAAGTGGCCGATAACTTATCTGCCAGATAAATTATCTAGCAGTTTGATGGTGAAACAGAAAAAAGTTAACAGCAACCTTTATCCAGTAGATAGCGTTAACTATCAGATAACTATCTGAAACTTTATCAGTAACCGGTGAAACTGGCCCTAAGTTTTTTTTTTAAGTTTATTAGGCAAATTACTTCTAATATGGAGGACGGTGCGTCTTCACTTGCGCCGAATACTTTTACTAATGAGGAAATATTTAAAAAAAGAAAGCACTAAAAAGCACCTCACTAGATGGCGACTCTAGCAAAAATTGATTTTTGCAGGAAACGAATGGACCAAAGATAATCATTTCCGTTTCTTGTTACTAACATATTAAAAAACCTGAAATTTGCAAAGTTTCAAACTTAGATATCAATACAAATACGAAAAATTACGAATAGAATATGAGTAGTTTATTGAGTTTTAAAAATTAATTTACTTTTATACATGAAAGAAAACCAGAAGGGTTGTCATGGAGAAATCAAGAAAGTACCATAGCGACATCTAGTTTGATTTCGGGAACTAATGTTTTGTTTTTATACTTCCTCATTCCAACAATGACTGAAAGCACGATTAAAAGTTGTAGCAAGACTTGTTATAACCATATGGTGTAAATTACAATGCAATAGGTGTCTATTTTACTCACACTTAGCGGAGGCTAGCCGGGTTAATATAGATGGATCGCCCGATGGCATGATAATTAAATAGTTCCGATTATTTGTCATTTGCGCCTCGACTTGGCATGTAGGAGTGAGTCACATAAGTTGTATGTTAGCTGTAATGAGTTATGGTTATACAAAGTCCTGCGATATTGTTGTTTCAGAAATAGCCCTGTATACATAAATGGCAATATTTATACTATAACTCACGCCTTCAAGGTACCGGACAACATGAGCTCGGTGATGAGTACGATGTTCTTTTTTTTGGCAACAGTACCCTCCCAATAGTTGTAAAAACGCACTATGTTCGGATGCTGGAGTTTCTTCAGCATATCTGCTTCTTCCCGAAATCTAAGCCGCTCCGTCTTATTCAACTTTTTCTCCTGGATGACATACAAATTTAAATATTTACACCAAACGTATATATTATAAATATAAAACGAAATCCTCCATCACGTCTGTCCGTCTGTATATTCGCAATAAATTTAAAAACTATAGCACGAATTTTCATGTGGTATTCACCAAGTTTAAGCAACTTTCGCAAAGGTTGTTCGCAAGTTGAGTTATTACGTAGATCAGAAGGCACGTTAAACAGTTGATCCCGGCTGCATTTGTAGGACGTTAACATGTATCAATCCATATTGGGCCCGTATAATTGGTTATGGCAAGTTTTCTCACAGCCCTGTCTCATAAGTTCATCGGACGTTATTTATAAGAGTTCATTCGTAGTATACGTTTAGCTTTAGTACATCTCATAAAACTATACTAAGAGTAAACGTATGAATGGTTCTATATATATATATTATAGATGCTATAAAGTAAAAGCTATTATACTCGGATTTACGTTAAATACGTCAATAGGACGTGGACAACGTCTTGTGCACGGTTAGCGCTGATGGCCACTTACCAACAACTCGCACCAAGCGACGGCCACGCCGGTCTGCGTATCGAGTCCGTGGTACACGGTCTTGAACGAACCACGGCCCACCTCCTTGTCGTATTTGAAAAACCTAATATTTTTAATAATTAATAATCTTATAATATTTAATTAGATACGTGAGTAATACAGAGATCCAAACCAATTGTAAATTGCTACATAGACCTGAACAGGAAGGGAGATGGCTAATCCTTGAAACTAGTGCACGACCAATCGACTGCGGAGGTCGTCCATTTATATTAACTTTATGTGTGGCTTTCAGTTTACATTCGCTCTTTTTGTAATTAAAAAATCTATATTGTTTTACCTTCCGCATGGAGAAACTCCTATTGGCTCTTCCTCATCCTCCTTGTCGGGCTTTAAATCCTTCTGCAGCTCAAGCTTATCTGCTGGATATATAGGACTGTACACTACACCTGCAATCGGACGTGCGGTCAGAACACGTTCTCAAGTCATCTAATCCTTCTAATCCTTAATATACTCGTACAATGAGGAAGTTTCATGATATTGATATTATGATATTTAAGACGATTTAATTAAAATATATGGCAAAATAAAATTACGTAACTACGTAAATACGCACAGCACGTCTGTGGCCTCCGACTAGCCTGTGACGTCACAGCGCCGAACTCGAGATCGTAGCAGTACAAATTAAATAGAAGTCTTTGCAAATCACTTATTATTATCTTTTTTGTTTGTATGAAGTTTGTTTTGTTACAACTTTATAAGTTGTAACATTCGGTTAAACGCATAAATATTTTTTCTCTTTCTTATTTAAAAATATTATATTAGTGTTTTTATTGTTGTACTTTAATACATAGGGACAATACAATATTAACAAAAGAATTTAGTGCCCTCTTTCGAGTAATAAACATAACGCGACTGTAAGAAGCAAGCGATGTTCAAATACGAAATCGCAATACTATTGAGCCGCGTCCTCGCGGTCATGTTCGGTACTGTGACGTCACACGCTGAGATATCGCGTGAAGTTCTAGCGAGCGCAACTTCTAAGTCCCATAATTTTTTTATTTATTTTAATGTAATTCACATTATTTATTTAATACGTTTATTCTTTCATTATAAATAGAAAAAGTAAACTTATTCATTGTAAATGGATATCAAAATTAAGTTACATTATATAAAGGTTATCTTTAAAACACCAGAACCTTTACAGGACTAAATATCTAAAATTAAAAACAGCAACGTTTGCTCTACCAGTTTTAACATAACTCAAACAACAATGATATTTCAGCTTTATTGCACTATCATGATATTAAAGGTCTATGATATAATAAGTTAATGACTTGTGTAAAGTAACATGCATATAATAGATACTAGGTGAGCATAGTGTTACGTTCAAGCGGTAAATTATACTGATAGAAGTTTTATTTATTTAACGCGCCATGATTAATTGATTACGGAACAACTGATACGGAACAATATTTTTTTCTTATGAAAATGATCATAGAACTTTAAAACAACACATAATGAAATATAATAAAAAAAAAAAAATTTACAAGTGCTATCATTAATTATGTCAGACATCCAGTCCTGCGAGGTTGATATTTTACAAATAACCCTGCAAATGAACTGATTACTACAGAAGATATTTACGTACTTCACTTATCATATGTATCAAATGACATAAAACAACAAGACATGTACGTCAACTATTCGCTCATGATTGTAGAGGGTAAATCTATTACCATTTTGCGGCTCCTGCGACTGCGCTTCGCCAGTATCGTCTGCCGGTGGTATTCCCTTCACTGTGGCATTTGCGATTTCGATATTTTCTTCCTAAGAACCACAATATAGAAGATTTGATATTTAGATAGAACACAGGTAGTTAGAGCACACATATTTATTTAGATACGTTCAGGAAACGTTTAAGACAATTATTAAGTATCTATCACTACAATATCTAGTGATGATCTGGTACTATGGATTATCAAACAAGAGTTGTAAATCATGTACGATTGCAAAGAATAAGGAACTGTCACAAAGGTCAATCTTCGGATGGCTGACCAACAAAAATTATCTCAAGCTTTTCTGCGCTTCGAAAGGCATGTAAAACCGTCGAATTCGGGTGTATTTTAAGTTACTCTGGACCGTAGGAGTCGTTCTCCTTATAGCCTATCCATTATATTTATAGAAGGCCATTATAGAACCAAAATACAGAGATAAACTAGTATATGGCAAAAGGACAGTATTACACAACTGACAAGACTCACCAATGTACCTGCACAGATATCCAAATTTCCAAACGAGGCAAACATTTGAAAATGTCTTTATTCAAATAAGTTTAGTAACCGTCCAAAAAAAAAATTCCCCTACCACTTGTTCAAGAAGTCTTTTAGCTGACAAGAAAAACAAGCGAAAGGAACTTACCAGCTCTTTATCATAAGTCATAATATTTACATAAATCATGACATTACCAAAATAATATGTATTATTACAATAATAAATTCAACTTTCAAAGTCTGTAGGACATAGGTTGGTACATATAATTAGTTGTTATAGAACAAAGCGAAGGCTATTAATTCCATGCATTGCAGTTCTTAAAATAACAAATAAACATTAGATATCACATAAATTGCTCATATTCAAAGATGCTGTATGATGTTGCTAAAATCCCCATATTATAGAGTATCTGAGACAACGACGGTACCTCAACAGCCAGACCCGATACAATATAGAAGAATCCATTTTTAAAACTTTGTTCTGACTTTTTTACTATTTATAATGATGATTGATCTGGTAGTGACATAATTTTTGTGAATGTCATTACTCCCATTAGAGCTGGTGAGTTAACCAAAAAGACACCCTGAACGGACGGGTGGGTGGTAGGGAACAAAATGTTAGTCGATTCTAAAATACTTTTAATAAGGCTATTTAAATAAAGATTATTTTGACTTCGACCGGGAATTGAATCCGGAATCTCAGAAAAGACGACACTTTGAAATCACAAATATTTAAGTAGTATGCTAGACTCCACAGAGTATGACCGAGACGTTGTATTTTCATCTGATATTTATTTTAAAAAAGCTGATCTCAAATAAAAAAAATCAAAAGGTCAATTCAAATCAAAAGGTCCAGGCTGCATATGTGAAGATTCACGACGCGACATTTTAATTGTGTTTGATTATACTAGAACTGTGATATGGACTCACCAAATCCTGTTCGGAGATAAAAGCGTCGTCCTCCAGGCGAGCAACGAGCTTGTTCCCGCTGTCGTCCAGCTCGGGGTCGCACAGCGGGCCCTGCCCCGAGCTGCGCCTCCTGTACCCGCCCACCCCCACCCCCACACCCACGCCCACTACTGGCTGACTAGCCTGTTCACATTAGCATCATTGTAGATTCACTGTTCCCACACAGCAATTGGCTACTTAAGAGTTATTATAACGATAAGTTATAAAATATATTGGAAACAGTAAGTCTTATCTAAACAATAACCATACAGTTATATTTGCTTTAAATAAATTGTAAGTATATTCTGTTTTTGCGTAATAAACTTGTGATTTATATTCTATGGAATACAAGAACCGAAATGCGGGCGGCCATGACGGAATGTCACATTTTATTAAACTTCAATAGTCTTTGTTTGCTAATATTAAAATAAATTGTCAAACTATTACTACTCTATTGAGTAGCTCGGTGGCGTAGTGGATAAGCGCCGCGGCCCGCGATCGTAGTCGTTAAGCAACTTTCGCAAGGGTCGGTCACGGGATGGGTGACCTAAAAATTATTATCTCTAGCTACTCCGTGCTTCGGAAGGCACGTTAAGCCGTTGGTCCCGGCTGCATTTGCAGTCGTTAATACCCTCCAATCCGCATTGGGCCAGCGTGGAGGGTCATGGCCCATCCTCCTTAACCATCCATAAGGAAGGCCTGAGCCCCTGCAGTGGGGACGTAAAAGGGCTGGTGATCAAACTATTTCAATTAATTGCTTATATTAATAATCTCAATCACAAATGGAGGAAATTGATAAAAGTCGCAACCAGTACTCAGTACCTACCGTTTATTAAAATGTGACGTCACAGCTCAAGCTATTACATGACTGATTAATTTAAAAAATAATGTTTCTTCTTTATTTAATAACACTTTTTGGGAGAAAAAGAAATCTGATAGTGGTTTAAAAGATCATATAATATTATTGCAAATGAAAGTTTAAAAAAGACTCAAGTCGCCAATTGTTTATCAACAATACGTCTATTAGGTTTTAGGTATCTATGAGAGTTGTGAACGTATGAGATGAGAAGCTCATTGAAACATTAAAAAGCCGATGTGATGTGTTTGGGTGTATTTTGTATGCATTTACTGACCACGCTGGTGGTGAGCGAGTTAAGCATATCAAAGGTGTTGCTCTGCTGCGTGTGTATGATGGCGAGCGCGTTGT